TAACCCTGTGCTGTCCCTGTCCTGGGAGTGTTTGAGGGGACAGTGTAGAGGAGCGTTACTCTGTATTTTATATTTTTCTGCATGTCTCCTGTGCAATGCCCAAAGATGAAAGAAGCACAACCTTATTAGCAAGGGTTACTGGAACAGAGAACTACATATCTTACCAAATATCTACACCTTCATCGTACTTACGAGCTCCATAGAGCAGTTCTGGGGCTCGATACCACCTGTGAAACGGGAATAAAAAAAAAATGTAACTGAGTCGGCCTGGCAGAAATTGGAGCCCATGGTCTCCTCAGACCAGAGAGGACAAGGGGGCAGATTGAATCGAGGTGATCGGGTGATAAGGGGGTTTTCGATCAAAGCTGTGAAAGGGGAGGAATCATTTTCTGAGGCAGCAAGGTGAGCGACTGGATGGAGACAGCGACTGAGGGGGAATGGGATAAAGAACTTGGAGGGATATGGAGGAGGAATAAATTCAACAGGAACTTTCCAGTTTGGGAAAAATCAGATGAATTCCTAAAGGAGGAAAATTTAACAGACTGTGGAGGGTACAGTCATCAGGGGCCAAGCATGGGATTTTTCTGAGAGCCATCACAGAGTCAGAGGGCTGAATGGGCTCCACCCGTGCCTGTATCGTTCTCTGATCTGATGACGAGGGATGTAGCGAGATGTAGGATTGTTGGTCTGTGGAATTCTTGTCCCCAGACATCAGTAGGAGGCTGGGTCAGTGAATGTCGTGAAGGCTGAGAGTCGGGTAAATTCTGGATCGACAGGGGGAGTCAAGGGCCACGGCAGGGAAAGGAAAGACAGAAACCAGATCAAGGTCACAATCGGATCAGCCACCAATGTAACAAATAAAGGAGCAGGCTGGAGAGGTAGAATGGCCTTATGCTGTTCGTAGGTTTGTACGTTTCCCTCTCTCTGTCTCACCGGGTAGCCACCTGATGGCTGTAAAGTCGATCACCTTCGTTGGAAAAAACCCGGGCAAGTCCAAAATCAGCAATTTTGAGGTGTCCTGTCGAACTGATGAGCAGGTTTGCCGGCTTCAGGTCCTACAAGAGGCAAATGGCAGGTAAAAACCTTGCTCCCGCTTCCAGCCAGTAACATCTTAATCACTCTCAACAGTGAAGTGGATCAGAGAGAAGGGAAGGGGCATAGGGAGCAGGTGGTAACAAAGGTGGGGTAAAAAGGGGGTTAGGGTTGGGGTGGAATTGCTCTCTTGCCACTCCGACAATGTGGTGCTCCCTCAGCACTGACCCTCCAACAGTGCTCACTCCCTCAGCGCTGACCCTCCAACAGTGCCCACTCCCTCAGCACTGACCCTCCGACAGTGCCCACTCCCTCAGCACTGACCCTCCGACAGTGCGGCGCTCCCTCAGCACTGACCCTCTGACAGTGCCCGCTCCCTCAGCACTGACCCTCCGACAGTGCCCACTCCCTCAGCACTGACCCTCTGACAGTGCCCGCTCCCTCAGCACTGACCCTCCGACAGTGTGGCACTCCCTTAGCACTGACCCTCCGACAGTGCGGCACTCCGTCACCACTAACCCTCCGACAGTGCGGCACTCCCTCAGCACTGACCCTCCGACAGTGCCCACTCCCTCAGCGCTGACCCTCCAACAGTACGGTGCTCCCTCAGCACTGACCCTCTGACAGTGCGATGCTCCCTGAGCACTGACCTTCTGACAGTGCCCACTCCCTTAGCACTGACCCTCCGACCGTGCGGCGCTCCCTCAGTACTAACCTTCTGACAGTGCCCACTCCCTCAGCACTGACCCTCTGACAGTGCAGCGCTCCCTCAGCACTGACCCTCTAACAGTGCAGCGCTCCCTCAGCAACTGACCCTCTAACAGTGCAGCGCTCCCTCAGCACTGACCCTCTAACAATGCAGCGCTCCCTCAGCACTGACCCTCCGACAAGGCAGCACTGCCTCAGCAGTGACCCTCCAACAGTTCAATGAAAAAGGGAGGGAGGCTGAGAGACCGAGAGGCAGACCGACAGAGGAGGAAATAGAAACAGGGAGGCAGAAGGAGCAGGGGAGCAATGCAGAGTGAGACAGGCAGAGGTTCAGAGATGGGGAGTGCATGAAAACTGTGAGAGGGTGACAGTGAGCCAGTCTCTCACCCTGTGCATGATGGAGTTCTGGTGGCAGAACGCCAACCCTTTCAGCAGCATCATCATGTAACCTTTGACTTGTGACTCGGTCAGGGGCCAGTCAGAGTTGCGGATCACCTCAGATAGGTCACTCAGCATGTACTCAAAGACCAGGACAAACCCTGTTCCATGGGGGAAGACGTCCTTTAGTTTGACCACCTGCAGAAGGAGAGGAGGCAGAACTTAGTGTAAGGTTGGACATCACCATCTGTCAAGCTGTTAATCATAGCACGGAACAGATCCTTCGGTCCAACCAGTCCATGCCAAACATAATCCCAAACTAAACTAGTCCCACCTGCCTGTGCTTGGCCATATCCCTCTGAACATTTCTTATTCATGTACTTATCCAAATGTCTTTTAAACGTTGTAACTGTACCTGCATCCACCACTTCCTCTGGCAGTTCATTCTACACACAAACCACTCTCTGTGTAAAAAAATTGCCCCTCATGAATTTTAAAATCTTTCTCCCCTTACCTTAAGAACATGCCCTCTAGTTTTGAAATCCCCCACCCTAGGCAAAAGACACCTGCCATTCACCTTATCTATACCCCTCATGATTTTATAAACCACTATCAGGTCACCGCTCAGCTTCTTACACTCCAGCCTATCCAGCCTCTCCTTATAGTCCAAATCCCAGTGACCCCAAGAGATTCTGGGAGGCACGCGTTGCAGCGACTGGAATTTGGGAAGGGGTGTACGAGGGGCCGAAAACAGAAGTGTACGCACATCTCCGAGTGTTGTCAGTCACTCAGATAGTGTGCTGTGAATATTCCTGCAGCTTGTATGGGACCAACTGTGGGTCAGTCAACACTAGAGATGGTGTGTGAAGAGGCCTCTGGGTCAGTGCAGCGATACTATGGCTTAAAGAGGTGAAGAGAGGTTTTAAGGCATAGGTGCATAGCTGTCTATTCAAATCCAATAAAGTAAACAGCTTGTGAGGCCTTGGGGATTTTTTAGAAGTTGGAACAATAGAAACTACATGAATGGGTGTAGTTAGGCTCCGACAGAATGGTGGCTCAGTGGTTAGCAATGCTGCCTCTCAGTGCCAAGGTCCTGGGTTTGATTCAACCTCCAGGAGACTGTCTTTGTGGAGTTTCCACACACTCTCCCTGTCTGCATGGGTTTCCTCCCACAGTCCAGAGACGTGCAGGTTAGGGTGGATTGGCCATGTTAAACTGTCCCGTAGTGTCCAGGGATGTGCAGGCTGGGTAGATTGGCCATCGGAAATGCAGGGTTACAGGGATAGGGTAGGGAGGTGCATTTGGGTGAGCTGCTCTTCAGAGGGTTGGTGTAGACTTGATGGGCTGAATGACCTACTTCCACACTGTAGTGATTCTATGACTCTATGAGAAACAGGGTTTTACTTTAGCTTTCAGTAGTTATTGTAGTCGAAGTTGGCTGTGAAAGCTGTGTCTCTCTCTCTCTGCCAGAATCGTGTGTGAAACAATCTATTTTACTAAATCCACCTTTTTGCCAAGGGTGCATTTATGGGATGTTACTATATTGGAACAGTTGCTGTTTAGTAGTCAAATAACCTATTATCCTGTTAAGTTTTCCAATACAGTTAAAGTTATACCAATTCTTCTTTCTTATGTTTGTATTTTAATTCTAGGGTACAAATAAGGTGTGCAACCAATCGAATTACACTTGGGTCACAGTTCCTTAGAGTTGCCTTTAAACAAAGGAGTTAGGGTCCAGGTTATCTCCTTGAAATATATTTGAAGGGGGTTTGGTCTGATCCATAACTGTCAGATCTGCTGGGGTGGAGTGGTGGTGCCACAGGGAAGGAGGGGGCAAGGCTTCTGGCAGTTCACAATAGGGGTGCCACACTGCTTCCAGTGACCACTGTTGAGACACAGCAGGTGTTGCAACAGAGCAGAGCGCAGACTGTGAGGCAAGAGACCAGTTAATGCAATGTTACTTCCTTGGAGTGACGATAACTGACAACCTGTCCTGGAGTTGCTCTCGTAGATGCGACAGTCAAGAAGGCACAACAACACCTTTTCTTCCTCAGGCAGCTCAGGAAATTTGCCGTGTCCATAAGGGCCCTCACCAACTTCTACAGATGCACCATAGAAAGAAAACTGTTCGGGTGCATAACGGCCTGGTACGGCAACTGCTCTGCCCAGGACAGTAAGAAACTACAGAAGGTGGCGTGCATAGCCCAGATCATCACGGAATTATATCTTCCATCCATGGACTACATTTACGCTCGCTGCCACGGAAAGGCGGCCAACATCATCACAGACCCATCGCACCCTGGTAATGATCTCCTACACCCTCTTCCATCAGGCAGAAGATACAGAAACCTGAACACATGCACCAACAGGTTCAGGAACAGCATCTTCCTGGCCGTTATTAGACTGACGGATGGACTCTCTAGCCTCAAATAATGCTGATCTTGCTAACTTTGATCTTGCCCAGCACACCCTGTGCAATATAACCTGTATGCCTCTGTCTAAGTCTTTTTCACCTGTACATCCTTGCTTACTATGATCTACCTGTACTGCTGGTAAACAAAACTTTTCACTGTATTCTGGTACACAGGACAATCAATCAATCAATCAATTAAGGGCACAGTAAACACGCAGAAATGGAAACTCCAATCCTGAAGGTCCCCAGTTCTTGGCTCCCTAAACTCACAAACTTCGGATAGCAGCTATGACAGGAGGCAAATAAAGAACAGACACAGCATGCAGTTAGACCAAGTAAAGCTCTCTCTGCTCTTTTAGTTGGAAAATAAAGCTCTGTCTACACTGCCCCCTATCAAACACTCTCATGACAATGACAGCATGGGGTCAGAGACAGAGTTAAGCTCCCTCCACACCATATCCCATCAAACACTCTTAGGACAGGGACAGCATGGGGTTAGATACACTGTAATGCTACCTCTACAGCACCCCCTATGAAACACTCCCAGGGCAGGAACGGTCAACGTAAAGCTGTCTGTGATCCATACTCACATATTGATTGTCTTCAATTTCCTGAAGAGCTTTAATCTCCCGCAGGGCCTGGTTCGGAATTCCATCCTCCAGTTTCCGCAGGGCAACTTTCTTGAGAGCGACTGTCTCTCCTGTCTAAAAGCACAAATAGAACAAACAGAAAATGTCTGTATGAGCTGTTGTGCTCACAGGGTGACAGCCGCACCTGGAACACAGTGAACAGTTTTAGTCCCGTTATGCAAGCAAAGATAGACTGGCACTGGCACAGTCCAGAGAAGGTTGACTCAGCGGATCTTGGGTATGAAGGGAATGTCTCATGACAAAAGGTTGAGTAGGTTGGGCCTGTGTTCATTGGAGTTTAGAAGATTGAATAGTGACCTTATAGAAACATACAGGATTGTGAGGGAATTTGACAGGGTAGATGCAGAAAGACTGTTTCTCCTTGTGGAAGAGTCTAGGACCAGAGGGAATAATCTCAGAGAAGGGGATTGCACAATTAAGACAGAGATGAAAAGGATTTTTTTGTCCCTCAGAAGGTAGTGAATCTGTGGAATTATTTACTGCAGTGGGCTGGGTCATTAAGTATGTTTGAGGGTAAGACAGAAATTTTTAATCAGTAATGGAATCTGAAGATTCATTTGGATGAATGATTAATTGTTGTCATGTACCCAAGTACAGTGAAAAGTTTTGCGAGCAGTACAGGCAGGTCACAGCAAAGAAGGACATACAGATCATAGGGTGCTTAGACAGAGTGAGGTAGGCAAGGTTACGGCTGCAATAGAGGTACATAGAAGCAAGGGTCAACATTATTTGAAATTACGGATGGATTGTCTTAGTACCAAAGGTTGGGACTCTACTCACTGGAGTTTGGAAGAATGACCTCAGTGTAACATACAGGATTCTTTGAGGGTCTTGACAAGGCCATAGAGTCATACAGCACAGAAACAGACCCTTTGGTCCAACCAGTCCATGCCAAACATAATCCCAAACTAAACTAGTCCCACCTGTCTCCTCCTTGTCCATATTCCTCTAAACCTTTCCTATTCATGTACTTATCCAAATGTCTTTTAAACGTTGTAATTGTACCCATATCCACCACTTCCTCAGGAAGCTCATTCCACACACAGACCATCCTCTGTTTATAAATTTTGCCCCCTCGTGTATTTTTTTTAATCTCTCTCCTCTCACCTTAAAAGGTAGATGCTGAGAGGATGTTCCCCCTTATGTCTAGGTCCAGAGGGCATAATCTCAGAATAAAGGGGTGCCAGTTTAAGACTGAGATGAGGAGGAATTTCTTCTAGAACCTAGAACTGTACAACACCGGAAAGGGCCCTTCGGCCCACAATGTTGTGTCAAACATGACACCAAATTAAACTAATTCCTTCTGCCTGCCATTGGTCCATATCCCTCCATTCCTTGAATATTCATGTGCTTATCTAAAAGCCCCTTAAATGCCCCAATCGTATCTGCCACCACCATCACCACTGGCAACACGTTCCAGACTCCTACTACTCTCTGTAAAAAAAACCTGCCCCTCACATCTCCTTTGAACTTTCCCCCCTCACCTTAAATGCATGCCCCTAGTGTTAGTCATTTCAACTCTGGGAAAAAGATTCAGACTTCTGTTGAGTCTCCCCTCAGCCTCTGCCGCTCAAGAGAAAACCACCCAAGTTTTTCTAGCCTCTCCTCGTAGCTCATACCCTCTAATCCAGGCAGCATCCTGGTAAACCTCTTTTTCACTCTCTCCAAAGCCACTTCAGAGGAAATAACCCTGGCTTTTCCAGATAAAAAAAAACAAAAGAACTGTGGATGTTGTAAATCAGGAACAAAACTTGCCCCTCACATCTCCCTTGAACTTTCCCACTCTCATCTTAAATGCATTTCAACTCTGGGGAAAAAGATTCAGACTCCTGACACTTCTAAGGAAGGGTCACCGGACCCGAAACGTTAACTCCGATTTTCTCTTCACAGATGCTGCCAGACCTGCCAAGCTTTTCCAGCACCTGCTGGTTTTGTTGCGGCTTTTCTTCCAGTATCTCCTTATGGCTCGTACTGGGAGGGTTGAGAGTCTTTGGATTTCCCCAGGGTAGTGGAGGGGCACAAAACTGGAGGGGCACAGGTTGAAGGTGAGAGGGGGAAAGATTTAAGAGGGACCTGAGGGGCAACTTTTTCATTCAGAGGGTGGTATGTGTGTGGGTTCAGCTGCCAGAGGAAGTGGTGGAGGGTGGTACAGTTACAACATTTGATGGGCACATGGATAGGAAGGGTTTAGGGGGATATGGGCCGAAATGCTGGCAAATGGGACTGGATTAATTCTGGACATTTGGTTGGACCGAAGGGTCTGTTTCTGTGCTGTACATCTTTTGTGATTCTATGACCTCCTTGCCACAGAGAGCTGTTGGAGGTCGGGGTGGGGGGGGGGCGAGTCCTGGCGTATATTGAAGGCCGAGACAGATCCGTGGTCGGTCGGGGAATCGAAGGGACATCAGGAATATTGGGTCAAAGGCCCGAAACGTCAGCCTCTCTGCTCCTACGATGCTGCTTGACCTGCTGTGTTCATCCAGCCCTGCACCTTGTTGTCAGGAATATTGGGACCGGCCATGATCCTAGCAGACTGGAGGGGCCGAACGGTCCCCGAACATCATGATCCTATGTCTCTATGGAAGGCGGGGGGACAGAGAGGAGGCGAGAGACCGGATGTGAGGATAGTCAGAAAAGGGACAGAATGGAGCCGGCGGGCCGAACGGTCTCAGGGTTGTGTCCCTGACTCGGGAGGGTGGGTGTTAAACCCTAGGGGGTGGGCGGGCCGCACCTCGATATGCTTGGCCTTGAACACGATGCCGTGTGCCCCCTCCCCGACCCGGCCCAGGATGTTGTACTGCTCCATGGCTCATCCCGAACCAGCCCCGCAGAGCCGGGCGGCTTGTTGGGGGGCGGGGATGTGTGAAGCCTGTGGATTAGGCCGCGGGGTCGCCGGGGCAACGGGGGCGGTGCTGACGTCATCTTCCTTTACGTCCGCCGTCCTTCGGCGTGATGTCATCGCGCACGACCCCACCCCCTCCAGGACAACCACGCCCCCACTCCCGCGCGGATATGTCCCCGCCCCCCCAAAAAAACCCTTAAAGGGACAGTCCATGGAACTAAGGCATACTGAAGGGACTTCCTGGAGGTGGCCAATTGAACCTCCCCCATTCCCTCCACTCTTTACGTGTGTATGTCGTGGAGGTCCCCAAGCTCATCGTAACCGTGCCCGTCAAAAACAACCACCCAGCTATTCTAATCCCATTAAAATCCCATCTGATCCCATTAGGGGCTGGAGGAGGTGACAGAGATAGGGAG